TCATTCAAAAAATAAAAAAACCATTTAGAACCTAATATTTACCATTGTCGGACTTAGATCTTCTCACCAATTCACGTCTGGCTTTAGCGGACACATTCCGTACATGTCCATTCACACTTTCAGCATCCATTAAGGGCATTTCAGCAGAGGCAATGCCAAACAGACAGAGCGACAGAGAGGAGGCCCATAACAGTGGCAAACAGCAACGTGACAACTGAAAAAGAAACTGTGACATAAACATAAAATTTTATGTTAATGGCCGATGATGAAAAGTCCAACCATGCACAGGGACAGGGACTGACAACGGCAGTGCCACCGGCTGTGGCAAATAAATAATTACCATAAACAGCAGGCAGTTGCAGGGAAGAGTGTCAGGGAAGGAGTGGGTCTCCCTGGATTGTGGCATTGTTGGGGGATTCACAGGTTTATGCAGTTAATGTCATTGAGTATTTATCAAATGAATATTCGCTGCTAGGAGATTTTTGCTTGCCAGGGTTGGAGGTTGTAGGGAGGCCTCCTCCTGCTGAAATTGTACCAACTCCACTGCGATGTTAATTCAAATTTACGTTAATGGAAAATCATTACGCACAAATGTGTAAAGTGCACTTTGGACTCCTGCCCGTGCCGATTGCCAGTTGCCAGCTACCAGCTGCCAGCTGCCAGCTGCCGGTTACCTTTTTAATGCGTTTTCCTTGATTCGCCCAAATGAGACTGAAGTTTTTGACTTGCCGTGAGAGCACACACGATTTTTTAATGAGCTGCAAGTGCAATCTGCTCCACCGACAGCCACTGATAAGCTGCCAGAGGCTGAAGGATTTATTGATGATTAAAGAGGGAACTCTTGCCTGGTTTTAAACCAGAGATATCATCTTAAGCCAGGGATCTTACTAACTCCACAACTAACCAACTCCGGACTCACGTTGAGCAAATGAAAAAGCGGAAAACCACCGAAATAGTTAACTTAACTTATAAAATTTTACAGCACCAAAGCGTTTCCCGTCAGGTCTTAAAGGTTTTACTAGCTAAGCCACCCGAGAGGATTTGGGATTGGCTCTGCTCCTTCTGCTGCTCCTCCTGCTGCACCTTTCCCTTTTCCTTTAGCATGGCATTTCTTGTGGCTTATGCCATTTAATATGCATTTTGTGTTATATTTAATATGCAGACAGACAGAGCTGAAAGAAGAAGCCAAGTCAAATTGCAGAGCCAAGTCTCTGGCAGTCTTTGGCTTAATGGGCCCAAGTTGCTTTTGGGAATAGCACAGACGAAAGACATGTTGTCGATGTTGTAGATGGTGTCGATGGAGTCGCTCCATTTTGGCATTTCACTTTGGGGCATTGTTACATGGGAATTTTGCACTATCGTTCTCTCTCTTTTGGTCTGTCTTGTTTTGGGGCTCATTAGGCACGGAGCCGGCACCAGGTTGGCACATCAAATTGCTTGCAAATTGCCTGGAAATTGGTGCCCCGCCCGGCACAGAGTTCCATGACGACTTTAATGAAGCAATCGAATGCCAGCTACCCCGCTACTCCTGCCATAACCCTTTCTTCTTTAAGAAGGCAAAAACGCCCTTAATCAGCACACAGCGGGCAGTTTGGCATAAGAATTGAAAGAATAAGGAACGAACGAACTACCCCAAGCATAGCTCTATTGTCCTAGGTCATTCAACCTCAGTGCCGCGTAACCTCAACCTCAACCTCAAACCTCCAACCTCAACCTCATGCCACGTCAAGCGTCGAAACGCAGTCGCAATCTCGAAAACGCATGCGAAATGCCATTTTCTGAGTTTCTTTCTATTTTTATGCGTGGCAATCAATGGATCAAAAGTGGGGTATATCGTTTTTATGCTTAAATGCAGGCAACAGGTACAAAAAAATGCTTTAGATCAGAGTAAAAAATAAAGTAAAATAATAAAATTAAATAAAATGTATTTCAATGAAAAAATGTATCAACTCGACGCTTGGGATTGCCCAATCTGATTTTATTGTTAATTTTTATTAGAATTAAAACCTCTGATATCCGAGTACTGGGTACTCTTTAGTCCTTTAGGACATCCTTGCAGTGTTTGTTTGTTTTTTATATTCCGCGACGCGATGCAGCATAAAATGAGCAGAAGAAATATCGGGAAGGAGGATGCTTTTTCCCTTTTGCAGCATAAAATCAAATGTTGGGAGAGACGTGAAGTGCCAGCGAGATGTGGAGTAAGCATAAAATATATTTTTATGTCACGTTTTTAATGACATTTGTTGCATTTTGCACTTGGACGTGGCAACCCTGGAGAGTCCAGACGTTCCTTCTCTCTCTTTGGCGTAGGCGTCTGACCGCAAGTGCGAAGAACAAAAAATAAAAGAGAAAACCCCACACACACACACTGGCGTCCAGGTTCAGGGGGCAAAGAAAAAGTTGCTGCATCTAAGCTGTGAAAAGGCAGGCCTCCGAGCAACAGGCTGTCAGTTTGACAGGCACTCACTCGATGATTGCAAAAGCGCCACTGACAGCTGTCATTTGCACGGACCCTGCCACGCTTTTAGCCGGAACAAATAAGGCAAGAAAAAAAGAAAACCCGGAGAAAAGCACACACTGACAGCAAGGTGCAGTGGCATGGCACGGAACGGCAGAATAAAGTTGCTAATAGGCTTCTCCGTCCATTAACTTGGGGCAAAAAGAAGTAAAGGGTTGACGGAAAGTGGGAAAAATGGGGAACGTTCAAGAGCGTTTACCAGTCGAAGGAACAGTGGAACGAATGGGAATGGAATGGATTAGTCAAGGCAATAATTAGTTGGAGAACAATTGGGGATACATTTTTAGGGTTAAACCTTTAAGATATACTTAAGTTTTCTTTACTTTCAAAACTTTCTGATAAAGATATGACTTGGTCAAAAAATTACAACGAAAACAGAGTAAATATAAAATAAAAATAAAATAAAAAAGCAATAAAGCATTCCATCATCCATGCAGAAGGCAATGTTTCCCCGCTGCTTCCATCAATTATCATCCGTCATTATCTGCTGAAGTTTTACTCAAACACCGCCAGGGTTGACAAGTTGTCAATAGTTTGGGGGAATGGCATGGAATGTGCAGGCTAATTAGCAGCAATTGAAAAATCAAATTGCCGGCGCTTCAAGCTGTCCTCAATCGAGTGACCCAAGGCACTGCCTGTCGTAGGCGACGCCTACTTAAATGGCTTTACGCCTCAGTGGGTTTCTTAAGGCCCATGGACTTGTCAATCTGGGACCCCAGGACCTAGGACCATTGTCCGGTTTGGCACTTGAGTTGTGCTTTCTGCTCTATTGGCTGCCATTTTGCGGCACGCTTCGATGCATTCGCTGCCGACTTGGAGGACAGGACTGTGATTTCCATGAAGGACCTGGGTTGGGTTGGTGTAATTAGGTTTGAAAATTTGCTCATTGTTGATTTGTTGTACGGAGTATTTGCGGTACAGCAAACTCCAATTATATGCGCCAATTGTCAGTTTTGGTTACTGCTCGTTAACTTATTTGATTATGGGCTAATCAGAGACACACTGGGGGAACACAGGAACAATGGGAAGACTGGCGCTTGGCATGGTCACGGCTTGGATGGAGGATGCAACCTCAGAGCTAAATTCAATTTAAGAAGGTTCTATTTTTGCGCAGGCAAATATCTTACGAAAATCTAAAGCTAAATAAGCAAAAGTAATTTAACTTTTCCCATTTTCTGATGCTGCTGCTCAACTCTCTTATCGACTAGGGACCAGAACCGAGACCCACAACGATTTGATGAAGTGCACCACCAGTGATGAAAATGCACAAACACACACATGTGTGGCCGCATATTGACAGACTCCAAAAACGCAAAACTATGCAAATAAGGAAGGATACGTCTGACAAGTCCAGAGTCGGCCCCGCAACCATGCCAAATTCCCTTGCAACACACCGACTCCGACTCCGACTCCGTTTCTGTCTGCTTAGCCCGAGTCGAGTTTGAGTTTCTCTTCATTTATCTTGGCTTATTAAATTGAATATATGGCTTGGAAATATATATATGTATATATATTTTTTAGCCTGCTGGCATGGCATCATTGTTGTGTTGCGTCCCTTTTGGTCCTTTTAAATGCAAATTAGCTTTTTGACTTTTTGATGCGCCCCGTATCGTCCAGACTCGATTTAGATTTATGCGGCTTGATAAATTGTGGCCACACTTAATGTGCGCATACGGTGTGACATGTCCTTTTCATGTCACTCGCCGAAAAAGTTGCCAAACTCCCGACTCTCTGCCCATGACCCAAACTCTGCTTCGAGTCCTTGTCGTCGTTGTCGTCGGGGGTTTCCATTCGAGTTGACATGTCGAGTGGTTTTGTTGGGGTCTGCACTGGTCTGGCTTCGCTGACATTTTAGCACGCTTGACAAAAACAGCGCAACAGCATTTTTCTGACTGGCTCTGACTTTGGCTCTCTGGCTTTGACTCTGGCTTTGACTCTCTGTTTTGCTGGTAACCAATGCTTTTTGTGGTCCGGCTTTGTAATTAGTTTTTTCTCGGCGAGGTGAGTCTCGGGTTCACAAACGTTTGCTGGGTCCCCACTCAGTCTTTCAAATATAACTCAAAATGGAAATGTTGGGCCACATGTTGATGGTTCAGACAAATTATTGGAATCGGCTTGCGCGTTTTTAAAAATTGATTAAAATATTTCATACAAATATAATTCCATTTAATTTTTACATATTTAAGATAAAAATATCTATTTTTTGGGTAGTCTATGTTCCAGTCCATAACAATTAATAATAACTAATGCATAATTAATTATTTCAATCAATATCTGTTGATTCATTTATTTAAATTTGTTGCTAATGTCTTTTAATATTTATTTAACATTCCCCTAACATATTCACTTAATTACTGCTTCTCAATTTTGATAAATTTGGAGCAAATATCGATTTTATTAATCGCTCAAATTCATCGCAAACTACCCTAAGACCCATCTCTTATACGTATGTACGTAAATTCTTTTTCCTCTTTCCGGTTGCTTCTGTTTGCTAGAACGTGTTCACATTTCGCATTCAAAATGCTTGCAAAATTACCCATTGAAATAATGGATAAAATATTCGATTACCTGAACCTGAAAGACCAATTGAAAATGGCTAAAGTTAGCAAACATTTTAAGTCTGTGTTTGTATACAATTCCCGCGACAAATACAAGAAGATTGTTTGCTGCAAATATTCAGACGACGAGCTCCAATTAATAATGCGCCTATGCGGACACAAAGTTACCCATGTGATGGTGTTACACAATATTAATGAGGCGACTTGTAAACTAATATCGCAGTACTGCATTAACATAGAATCTGCCATTTTGAATCTTAAAAATGTTGGTGCATGCAAATCAATATTAGGAATGAATAGCCTGAAAACAATTGCGTTGGAAAATATGGACGAGTGTGATTTGGATGTACTCAATTACATAAATCCAGAATGTAAAGGATTATCTGTAGGCAATTTTTCGTATGCTCAGGGTATGAATAGTAATTAATTCAAATGGAATATCTTTAACATTTGTGGCTTTTGCAGCTGAAAATATTGTGAAGCTGATTAACTTGGAAACGTTGGAACTTTCTGGTTTACAATGTTATAAAACCGATGATCTGTTTAAAATGTGTTCCTCTTTCAAGAAGTTGCGTGTCCTGACAATTCGAGACATTTACTTTACAACTCCCGAGCTAAGTATAGGGAGAAATGATATTGTAATCTCAGAATTGGAAGAACTTCAAATCACTAATTGTGACATAAATTTAAATTTACTGCCCAAATGTCCGAAGCTCAAAACATTGAAATTTGCTCCGAATGAATTTTTGAGGAACGTTGAAGTCAGAAATATTATCAAAATTTACGCTGGGACATTGGAACATTTTAAATTTAAAATTAATCGCAATAGACTCAAAAACTTTAGTTTAAATGATTTTATAAATGATCTCGGAGAGTGCAGGAACATCAAGAGTCTACATGCAGATGCGTTCTTGGTATGGCGCTTATTGCACCATCATCTCGACTCTTTTATCACATTTTTAAGGGATAAAGGCTTCAATCTACAGAGATGTTTTGAATTGAAATGCGATATGCTGATCGACAGTAATCGGCTCCTTTTGGTGAGTGTTTAAAAAACACGATGACTTCTGATGTTGACACTTACTTTATTTGCTTTTGTAGGAGAAAGAAATTGTAAAATCGGAAGTGTGCAATTTAATTAAATATTCCAGATTTGGGCCAACTGTGAGCTTTATTTTGCAAGTTAGGTAATTACCTAACCCAAACCAAGCCAGCCCAAGCACTTGAATCTCGAGGTAAATGAATATTTTCAAACAAAGCTGTCTTAAATGTTCTTAAATAAAAAATGTTATACATTTACTGGTTACGCATTTAGTTTTATTTATTATTATTATTTTTACTTATATATGCATAATTACTGACTGAAAAATCAAAATTTAGGAACAAAAACCACAAGAGAAACGCTCTCATTGGCATACGAAAAATAAATGAAAATCAAAATATTTATTTTCACTTTGTAAAAATATCAATTAGTTATGGCAATTAAATTATGCGATTTACATCTCGTGCAGAACTGAAGAGCTGTTGCTAATGGAAGGAAACTCATGGCAAAAGTTGAAAAAAAAAACACCTAAAATCTTTCAATCTTGCTGGAAAATATTTCTTGACAAATATTTACAAATATGTTTAAATGGAATTTTTACACAGTATAAACACTTTGTCACTTTTTTAAATATACATTTTTGCTGTTAAACTCTTCCCTCTGGTCATTAGGTGTACTTGAGGGAGCAAAATAATTTCATTTTAATTTGATACGCATGTCTATAAGTCACCTCTTCCTGCTGCCCCGTCGCACTGCTCTTCAGGCAGGCAGGCAATCTGCATTAACAAAGCAAACAAAACTACTCAAGCGTCAACAAAAATATGTCATTTAGAAAATTATGAAATATCAACAGAGAGTTGGAGGGAGAGAGAGAGAGAGCAGAGGCGGGCCAGAAGAAACACTTAGCAGTAAATGAAAAATTATATGGTGTGTGTGTGGATAGCTGAGGATGACTTCAGGGTAGGAAAAACCCACAAACAATGGGAAAAACGAGCCAAGCAAACACATGAGCAGGCCATAAATTAGCCCGCATACTGGCATCAGGTGGAAGCGGCCGGCGGTACAGCTATGATTGAGGCACGAGTAGTTTGGGTGGTAAAAAAAAAAAAAACAGTGCTCAAGGCGACACTGGGTAGGATGTGCGGATGCGTCAGCTGTAGAACAAGAAACTAGAAACTAATTGAGGGACGGGGGCGAGAGGAGGATAGGTATGTAGTGTAGGTAGGTGTATGAGGTGGCTTGTTGTCAGGCCATAAAACAAAGTGCTGTCTACAAATAATTTGACTTATTCGTGCAGAACAAATCGTACGTCATTTGTTGGGATACTAAAAAGTTGAGAATGGAAATGGTGTCTCCATTGCGCAATTAATGTTTCTGCACAGCGAGAATTATGTGTGCGTGACTGTCGCAGCCAGACAAGACGGAGACGTCTCTCGTCTCGTCTCGTCTCTACTTTCTATATCTTTCCTCGTCGCAATATGGATAGAGCCATAAATGTTGACTTCAATTTCCAATTGTTTGAAGCATTTTACGGCCTTACACATGTGCCACTCCCACACCCACCAGCGATTGCAGTTGACAGGCAGAATTTTATGATGATGTGCGTTAGTTCGCTTTTCGCCCAAAATGAAATCATAAATTTTGTAATTAATTTGCATATATGCATTTCCCTTTGGTCCTCCCTGGAGAGGGAAGGGAACATTTAATCATACCAAATTGGCATAATGGCTCAATTTTAATGGGCGCCGTCGCACAAAGCGGTTAAAACTCGAAATGGAAATTATTTTTGTATACGGCCTGAAAACTAATGAGACGACACACGGGCCCCCCAAAGAGATTATATGAGGAGATCATTAAAATTAGAGGGAAATAACTCACTTTTGCATTGGCATTTTAATTGCTGTCTCTGGGCATAGTTTTGAGTAGCCAAAACAGAACTTTAAATTATGATTTGTGGTGCTTATTGGGGGAGCTAATATCTTGAATTTCCAACGATCCAATGCGATTACAAAAAGCAGCTTCAATGGCACTCCTTTAAATCTATCACCTGTTCCTCGTTGTTTGTTCCCGGTACGCTCTTTCTAGGACACGTCAAAAGTCACTTCAGACTCTGGTAGCGGGTAGCTTGGTTTTATTGTTATTCATTAATTTTAATGTTGGCACAACCTGCGAGCTTGTGGGCGAGAATTGAATTGAATTTGAAGTGTGTGGAAGTCTGGGATAACACCCAAAAGTGGGTAGCCAGCTAGCCAATGAGGCTAAGGCTAAGTGAACCCTTTTCACATTTTGGGAAGCTCAACACACAACAACAAAGGGAAGCCCCATACAGAGTGAGTCCTGAAACATTTGCGTAATGAAAGGAGGAAAATGGTGTGGCAGGAGTTCAATAAACCCCCGGTGCACATGATCAGGAAAAGGACACACAAAATAGCAATAATCCAACGAAATTTGATGCGCAACAAACATGCAAAAGGAAATAGACAATGGAGTTTGGAGCAATTAAAGCGCATGAAAAGTTATGGGCTGTTATTAGAACTAATGCTGCATCCCCTCCGCATCACATTCTGTGTACAGTTGTGCCACCTGAACAGATGTCATCGCAGCATTGAGTTGTCATCCCGCAAACACCCTAATATCAATACCTGTATCAATGTCCAACCCAGATACACATACAAATACACTCCCCCACATCCACATCCAAAGAGCATCTGTAAGTGCGTGAGGGAGGGCGTTAAACTTGTCCGATCCGAACCCAAAAACGCAAGCATGTAATTTGTTATCCAACAATTTATAATTGCATCAACAGACAGCGCCAGCACACACGCACATGGAGAGTCTCTGACTTTGAGTCTCGGAATTATTATGAAGCTAAACATGGAATGGTTTATTTTTTCTATATTTGGACCGACTCATCTGACTCGTTCTCCTCTCCCCTCTGTCTGTGCGGCAACTGTCCGATACAATTTTCTGCTATGCTTAACATTTTGTACATTTTTCGGTTTTTGGTTTTCGGTTTCTGTGGTGTGTTCCCTCGTCTTGTCCTTTAATTTAATTTTCCTTTGTGGACGAAGGGCAAAACTTTTAGTTGATTTATGAATTTTTAAATCAATTTGACAAGTTACTTTTAGGCTAGGGGTTTTACAAATAAAAAGTTATATAAATATATTACTCTTATTTATCATTGTTAATGGTATATCCGATATATCAATAATACTCTTAAGAAATCAGGAAAAATAACTACAATTTCCGTTCCCATCAAAAAATTATTTTACATTTACAAATTTTGACAGCCATGGAAAATTGTTTATAAAAATGAAACATCCCCTCCTCATAGTTTTGGACCCTCCTAAAAACACAGACATGCACTTCAACTAAGACGCTACTTAAAAAAAAAAAACAGTTTTATGCCATAACACAAAAAAGAGATCAAAATACAAGTATCAAAATGATTTCAAGGCGTAACGAAACATGTTGAAATGTAACAACTTGTGCCACCCGCCGACGTCCTGATCGACAGCAACTTGTGCGGAAATACCGGCTACAGGAACACGTACGGGGAGACGGATGCGTGTTGCCTTTGCCTCTGGTTGGGATGGTGATGGTGGGGGCTACACACGTTTTTCTACTCGTCGGGCGTCGCTCTTTTGACAACTCAAGTGACGTATTACTCAATGGGCTCTCTCTCTCTCTCTCTGGCTTTGGCTATGCCTGACAAAAACGCCATCCCCCCCAACCATCAGCAGCCAGCACCCGCAACGGGAACGTCGTCATCAATCTCTGGAAAAAAGAGTGTTTGGGTAAAAATCACAGTTGCAGTTGCGGGGAAGTTTAAAATGTCCAAATGGATTAGTTGATGGAACGTTGGTCAGAAATTTCATGGGAAAGTGTTATAATTTAAATGGGAAAGGCATAATAATTGATTTCCCTTGACTCTCGCTGGTTATTCATATATTTGTGTGGAATGAGAAAGTGCTGTTTGGCTGTGGGAACGGTCATGGAAGACATGTACGTACGTGCATTTGTCACAAATTTAAATGATTTCCTCAAGTGCAATTAGGTTCCACACTTCGTAGTTGGCAGTTGCATTCTTCTACAATATAAAAATGGTTTTAATTTCTGCAAAGAATCACATCGGGGCAAACACTTACCAACTTCTGAAAGATATCGAACACTATATTAAGGGTCTCAAGTGCCAATTCGTAAAGCATTTTGTTGTAGAGTTACGCACAGACAACTCGTTCTAGAAAAGACAATAAAGGAAATGGTATTTATGTACATATGCCTCAGGGATGTGTTTTTGCATGCGTGAGCGATGAATTTGAGCGATTAATTATATCGATTTGCAACTAGAGAAGTCATTTAGTGTTTCAATTTCAACTTCTTCATTCTTAGCCAAGTCCAATAAGTCCATACTTTTAAGTTCTTGCAAATATTTCCATATGCATAAATATGTATTTTTCTATCTGTTTTAAGGGAATGGTAAACGAGCCAAAATGTGTTAGTTAATTTAATGCAAATATTGCAGACGCAAACACACATTCAAATAAATAATAAGTAAATTATGGGATATGTTGCGCATAACTCATAAAAGTTTTACAAGCATACAAAATGTGAGGCGCAGCGACCATTAAAATCCATTTTTAAACAACGTTTTCAGGTCGGTGCTGAACATTAAATAGATCTTTGGCACTAGCACTGTTCCATTCCGGAAGGATAAAGCGCGCTTTACGCTTCGTTTGATTTATAGGCGCAGGGTTAACGGTTGGCCTGAATGAAGGAATGAAGGAAAGGCGTGGGACAGGGCAGAGAGCAGATCGGATCAGACAGTCGCTGGAGTTGGGAGGAGGGAACTTATGCATATGTGTCTTACACTTGTTATCGGGCGTATCACATCCAAAGCCCACACCCAGGACACCCTGTCGGCGTGGCTCTTTATGTGTTTATTTTAATTTTCAATGTTACGTCGTCGGACCTCTTTTATGGCTCTCAATTTTTGCGCTTGTTTTACGAGCGCATTAAAATTAAGGCCAGACCAGACCAGACACAAACAGGAACAAACTCAATTAGATAACGAGATGGGGTCTGAGTCTCCTTTTGTGCGCTGTAAAATTCACTTGGCTTCACACACAGACAACACGCTCACCGAGAAGGAGATCCGATCCGATCCACCCACCTACCCATGCCCATGCCACACACAGAAATTTTTGGAAGCGTGTTAATTTCTTTTTAATTCCTACTCTTCTCTCGGGCCAGTGAAAGTGAACGTGGGCGGGGTCCTTCTCTGTCTCTGCTCCACTCATAAATTAACGTTTAGCTACGGTACATAAAAATCTGTCTGAAACAAGTCCCCCCTCCCCCATGACTGTATTCGGAGTTTGCGAGTGGCGCTGCCCTCAATGTCAATGGGGTCCGTGGAAGGTAGAGGTCCAAACTTTTGTTAGATTTTGTATTGTAACCAAAATTGAAATCATTTCTAATGCAACAGACAGAATGTGATAGTGAGGATGGAGGGAAAAATGTAGATGGAATTTTAAAGAAAAGAACAATTAATGAGAAATAATAAGTATTTATTTATTTGTTGTTTTAGTTAGTTATTATTTGTTTATTAGATTTCCCACAAAGTACATTTATTCTTCAGAAGCTAATTTTATCGAATGATCCAAAGAATGATCCCAAAATGATCGCTCTGCCAACGTGTATATGTTCTCATTGTGTGGCTTTGATTGAAGTGCCACATTTTCCGCTCGAAAATTTTCCCCAACCATCTGCACAAACCTCACTCCCTTGCTGTCCAAAACCCAACGAAACACCGAAAAGATTTATATTTCTGTGCACTCTGTGCGCAATCATTAGGCCCCTTGGCAGCACTGTCTGTCACTGGCATCATTAGTTTTATTTAATTATGCCTTTGATATTGATTGCTTTGTTAGAACATATTAACCGAACCCCTGGCCACTTGTTCAAGGGTTTGCGTCTGATTTCCTCCCGTGGAAGCCAATGGAAAGTTCAATTAAAGTATCACCCCCCAGCCCATAAAGATGGTTCCAGCTGTGATTGTGCTGTGTTAACCGCAAAACCGAAAATCCAAAAAGAGAAACAAAAATACGAGTATATTTGATAATGAATAATGATGTTGATTTGACACTTGAATCGAAATCGTCACGCTTCGAGTAGATGTCTGGGTGTCTCGGGAGTCGCGCTGTGTAAGGCAGCTCATCTGCGGCTACTTGGGCAGAGATCAGCCATTTGATTTTAATTTAATTAGATTTCCAAAGCCACAGATGATCGTTGTACTCCAATGAGTATTCTATGATAATTTAATGGAGCATGAAATCTCCTGCTCCTCTGCTCTCTTTGGCATGTTTTATTTTTTCAATTTTTTGATACGATTTCACAGCGTTGCAAAGTGGCCGCTAATGATGGGAATGATCCTTTGGCCCGAGGTGCACTCAATTGTGTGGGGATCAAATGGTTTCCTAATAGCCGTGACAAAGGTCATTAGATCGGCAGAGTGAATTATGCCAGCATAAATAATATTTCAAAAATAAAAGGATGGTTCCTGGATGGTTCGATAAAAGCACTGGAAACAGACAAATAAAATCTCATTATAGCCGAAACACACACTTTGAATTATTTAGGGTACTACGCCCTCAGTGTGATTATCCTAAGATTGGGAGCATAATTTATAAACTTGTCTGCAGCTCGTGTTGACATTCATCAAGTTTTTTGGTTGCCAGCTTCTCCAGCTTCACGAACTTCATTAAAATTAGCTCATAAAATTTGCAGCAAGTTGGTGCGCCCGAAATCTTGTTTAGTTTTCATTTATGGCTCAATGCTCAAACCTCGAGAATCCTTTTTGCCGAGACGATGTGCATCCTTGTCAGCATCATCAACATCCAGAGACAGACGCACTTCAGCATAATTTGCTGTGACAGGCAAGCAGCGTTTCCTGTAGCCTGGCTGCGCTTCCTTAATTCCACTTTACCGAATGACATTTAATATGCAAAGTTTTGGCAGCCGGGCAGAACGGGAACTGGTAGCTGGATGGATGGTAGCGCCTCCAGACTCCAGCGTCGCCTTGTGCATATCTTTTGATGACTTTTGTTGATTTTATGCCAACACATTTTGCGGTAAGACACACGACACTCGAATGGGATCGCTGTACATGTGTAGCCGGTAGCCGGTAGCCGGGCCCCGCTGCAGTTTGGCATTTGGCGAAACAATGGACCACCCGAAACACCCAAAAAACAAGTGGCGGGCATTTGCCCGGAATGTCTACGGGAATACCCTTTATTACAAAATAGCCTGGGCATAGCTTTGCATATTCGTACTTTACGGGTATTCGACGAGTCTCTCCATCCACCCAACCCAAAAATCGTAAACTTTAATGACGCCATTCTGGAGGGGTTTGCGCAAGTCGCGCAAAGTTGTTTGTTGCCTTTTGAAATATGAATAGACCATAGACAGCGGGAGCAGCCCTCACTAATACTCGTCTTGTTAAGGAGATTAGTTCCAGGCTCTTTGTCGACTCGGACTCGGAACTCGGGGCGGGGACCCATCAATAAAATCGGTTTACTCAAGTTTTCTGCCCACTTTTCAATCGGCATAATTGCCAATGGAGGGGCCTTCTGTCTTCCTTCCTATCCACTGAGCCACAACAAGCCACGTACACAAAATTAAGCTCGTAAAATTTAATATTTCTCGCCAAAAGTTTCTAGTGTTCCCTTTTTTTTTTTTTTGTCTTTTTGCTTTTCGTTAGGTGAGAGCATTAGTAATTTATTACTGAGCTGGCTTAGGCTGCTGCATAATTTGTAAATATATATAAATCCTTGTAAAGAAATCATAAAATTTTACAACAGTTGAGTGGAACTTGTTTTCAGTCCGGTCGTGCTTTGTAGTCACAAATTATGTTGGGATTTTGGAGAAGCTTTTTATTCCGGGGCATCTACATCAACCCATAAAGTATGGATCTATTTTTTTTTCGAACTTTAAAAAGCGGTGCCAAGTCTTTGAATATTTGCATTACATTTACAATTAATATTATTAAATGTTCATAATTTGTTCATTATTTTTCTATCCTTTCAGTAAGTTCCATCACTGGATCAGTGATAAACAAAATTGGTGAGTCAACGAATGTAAATAGATATTGATTTTTTTGTTTAATTTAAATTTAAATTGTTTTTGTTTGACAATTGATTTAATTAATTAATTGTAAGTGTCGCTGAACATTTGTTCCTTGAATCTCTGAGCAAAGCAAATGGAAATCGGGGTCACCAATTGTCGCACATTCTTTTAGGCACAGAATTAAGCATTACAGAAATATGATATCCATTTCAACTAGTCTCTAGGAACGATCGCCTTATATTTTTGTGTCCGCTCAGGCTATATTTAAAATTGTTCTTATTCGGTAAATAAACTTCCTCACCTAACCCAGAACCCGCCTCATTTTCCCATAACAAAACTCTACGTTTTGTGTGTTTATTCTTTGTGTTCGTTTCTCAGACGATGGTAAGTGCCAATCAAACCGAAAAATATTTATAAATTTGACAAAAGAAAAAGTTTCCCAAGTTAAATTGCGTGCGAGCATGCGATTTGGAGATGGAGATGAAGGTTTCTTACCTACTGACTACCAGCATAAAAATGCTGACGATTTATGCCCAGGGGAGAATGTGAACGGGGCCCGGCCTCAAGGTAGAGGCGCCGAAAAAGAGTTTGAAAACAATCCATCAAACGAAAATGCTGCGCTTTTGATAAGAACGCATCAATAAAGCAATAAAATGTCTACAAATCGAACCGATAAGCAGAAAGGAGTTTTTGGCAAAAGATTCGCCTCGGAGAATGAAGAAAACGGGTACGAGACGGTATCAGGGGGAAAAAGTCACGTACAGCACGCACTCCCGGGTCTGGGGCGGACTATTAATATTAATGGTTCGTGGTTGTGGGATTGGGTCTAACGCACTGGGCGTTGCACTTTGTCGTCTTTGGGGTGCTGTCTGTCAAGAAAGCTGTCTACTCTCTATACTCGCTGGCCCTGAGGAGCTGTTCTTTTCCACACAAATTGACATGTGACACCGGAGAGAGACGAGACCGCTGTCAAAGGGTTGCCTCTGCGTTCTCCCCTGTTCTCCTCTGCTCCATGTGTGTGTGTGTGGCATGACGAAAAATAACAATCGAATCGGATCGTTGTGCGGTTGGGATTGTGATTGGAAATCATTAACATTCTGATAACTGTCGGGCCACTGTGATCCATTAGTTATCGGCAACAAAGCGGCG